AGTGATTGAGGACTTTACTAAGCAAAAGCCTCCTTTATATGCTGGCGCTCATATATTTTTCATATCTCGTACGTTTTATGTTTTATTTTTATCTACGAATCACTCTCGTTATAATGAACCCTAAATATAACAAAGTTTCGAAATAATAAGATTAAATTTCAGCTCCAAATAATGAAGTATATATAGTATTCTATTTATAAAATTTTTTTAATCCTATGGCTTCATTATAATGAGAGTCAAATATAACTTAATATTTGCTTATTCTTTTTATCGTTCGTTGTCATTAGCTCCTGACGATCCGATCTTTCAAAGGTTGCGTTCTTCATTACCTCCAAATTTTTTCAAGTCATTTGAGGTACTTTTCATCGATTTTCATGGTAAGTATAGAATTTTTTAATATAGTCGGATCGCATTATCAACTATTTTTGGATCTATATTTTGAATTTTATTTGCATCATTATATATTTAAATTTCAATGATTCTATTATATTTATAATAGTTCGAGAAACACAAGTATACTCCTTCGAATCTCCTTCGAGTTTCTTCAAATTATATTCACCTGAAGAAAGCCCTTTGTTTGATGGTGAACTAAAAAAACTTGCCAAACAGGTTAATATAATATCACATCATTTTTATTGTTAATTTTGTCTATTTTTTGGTCTTATTTTAGTCTAATTCATTCGATTTTATCTTTTATTCACGATAGCTTCTTTGTGTTTGTGTTTCATTAGGTGAAGACAACCCTTTGATACGTTTTCAAAGGGGAATAGATTCTGATCATCCAACAAAAGCATTACCTCTTAAATTGGCTCAGTTGGTACAGGCAGAATTGGACGAATATGCAAGAAATAAAAAACGTCATTCACCTGTAAATTTTCTTTTTTTTTTTTTTAAATGACGTTTAATCGTTTATTTATCATTATATCCTTATATGAATTATTCTTATTACCATTACCAGCCACATGATATACAACGCCCACGAGCTGTTTTATTTATTGTAGATCGATCTATTGATATGTACACTCCAATACTGCATGAATTTACATACCAGGCTATGGCAAATGATCTTTTGAAAATTGAAAATGGTCAAAAATTTACTTACAGTTATGTTGGTCAGGATGGTTCATCCGCTACAAGAGAAGCTTTATTAGATGAAAGTGATAATATTTGGGTCGATGTACGACATAAACATATGAAAGATTGTATCGACCAGCTTATGACTGATTTCAATAAATTTTTAGATGAAAATTCCACTATTACTGACAAGTAAGAAGATTCAAACTACTTATTATTTTTTTCCTTAATATATTTTTTATAAATTTTAAACGAAAAAAAAATTCAATTAACATAACATATATTCTTTGCGTTCAGGGATAAGGCAGCAAGTTTGAACGATATGAAAAAAATGTTAGCAACATTGCCCCAATTTCAAGATATGAAGGATAAGGTATGTAGATATAATTTTTGTTCATTTATATACAACAATTATTATTGCTATTATTTGTTGTTATTTAGAGTTAAATTAATAAATTCTTTTGTTAATAAAGTATTCGGTCCATTTGAATATTGCGCAAGAATGTATGAATGTGTTTGAGAACGAAAGACTTCCGGATATAGCCACAATTGAACAGGTATTTTTTCTTCGTTTAAAATATGACTAATTTGTTCAAATTAGATTCTCTCCGGAATTGTGGCATGTAGTTTATTCAAATTACATCCCTCCCTAGAATTGTGCCACTGGATACACTCCTGATGGTCGTCACCCAAAAACTCTGGTTGAGGATATGGTGCCATTACTAGATAGTTCTTTTGTTAGGTAATAATGACAACCAATTAAATAATTATAGTTAGGCATTTTTATATGATATATGTTATAATTATTTTTAATATATATGATTTATTTAGCACAATTACTAAAGTAAGAGTTCTCATGCTTTACATAATGTATAAGAATGGTATCCTAGAGGAAGATAGGCGTAAGCTATTGGCTCACTCAAGGATTTCCTTACCAGAAAATGATGCCATTAATAATTTAACATTGTTTGGAGTTAAATTGATCAGGGTAAGTGGTGCGTAACTATTTTTCCATTATAATTTATATAATTAATCTTTATCGATATCACTATTTTTTTAGTCACCATCAGGCGCTTTTAAAAAGACTAAAAAATATAGACAAAAACCTATGGATCCCGACTGTTATGAGATTTCTCGATATGTTCCAAGACTAAAAATAGTTTTGGAGGTGTGAAATTGTTTTTATGAATTTTATTATCAACTATTCCATTTTAATCGTTGTTAGTTTAACTAGATGTCCAGTTAATTGGATGTTAGGGTTATTAGGTTAAAACAAACACGGTTAATATTAGCGTCCTCCTTTATTATTTATATCATTAATTTTCATTAATTTTATTCGTTTTTTTATTAGAGCCATATTAATAAAACAATAGATCATACTGCGTATCCGTATACAAGGGATCCAACAGGAGATCCTGATGAAGTTAAGGCTTTACCACAAGGTCCTGTTTCTCTAAGAAGGTATGTAAATGTTTGGATTATTCGAACGCAATCGCACATAATATATATAATATTAATGTATATGACTGATATTAGTGCCCGAGCTGGATGGGGTAAGAAAGATCAAACGGTAGGCTAATTTTTTTTTTTTTTTTTGTAATAGTGTTTAACAACCTGAGTTTAATAATCCAAGTTTAAAAATATTATTATATTTTCTCAGGTTGAAAATACTCCTCGTATCATAGTATTTGTAGCCGGTGGTGTTACATACTCTGAACTTCGTTCTGCTTATGAACTCTCGAATAAGCATAATCGAGATGTTATAATCGGTAAATTAATTTATTACATTATTTTGTATTTTATTAAAGGTAGTAATTTTTTCGCGTTCTTTGTTTATTTGTAGGTTCAACGCATATTATAACACCTCAAAAATTCATCGAAGATTTAAAGCATCTTCGCAGGCAGCCTACCATGCACACACCACCTTCTCGTGCAGGTGCTCCTGTAACCCAAAATTATGGTGGTATAAGTCCAGCGTCATTTTTTAATAGAGCACCTTCATCTTCGTCTTCTGCATCTTCTGCATCCTCTGCGTCTTCTGGCGGTTATCATCCACCACAAGGTGGATATTATCCTCCGCAAAAAGGTGGATATCCTAAACAGACTGGATATTCCCAACCTACTTACTCACAACCAAACGCGTACCCGAATATGCAAGGGAGTCATCATTATGCACGACAAAATTCTGGTTATCAAGGCTACCCACCAACTACACCACCACCTAACCAACAAAGCTTTTCACCAATTACACCGCCACCAAATCAACAAAGCTTTCCACCAAATACGTTGTCTGTAAACCAACAACATGCAAATCCACAGAAACCACAATCTAATGAGAAACCGAAGAGCAAACACGGACTTTTAAACTTTAAAAAATTTTAAATAATTTACGATTTATTTATATAAAATTAATTTCATAAAGTATTAGATCTGGGTAATCAATTGTGTCGAGGGTTTATTTATTTTTTCTAAATCATTGGGATTCTGGTTAAATTTTAATTATTCATGTAATTGACTAATAATAACAATTCTAAAATCCTTTATTGGTACTAATTCTATAAAACCATTCTATAAATAAATTTTAAAAATATTCAAGATTTTAAAGTTTAAAACTTGAATCAGATTTATAATACAAATAAACAAACACTAAGCTTAAAGCAGCAGGTACTAATCTAAGTTGAACAACAAAATAAACCCATAGGGTAGCGAGTGAAGGACATCGACGCATTACTCCATAATAATTCGCCTTATTAATAACCCAAATCAAATGACAACCACAAAGAATTGAACCTAAAAACATAGCAAACTGTATCCAAATTTTGTTAACGTTTTTGTTTGTATAATAGACAAAAAACCAGAGAACTAATGAAGTGAAAAAAAAATATTTAGTTAAATCATATATTCATATCAATTTAAATTTTTATAATTATGTCGACATATATGACTCTAAATCATAGTTAATATGTCACGTCAATAGTATTTGTTGACAAATACACTTACGTGGGGAAATCTTTATAACTCTAGTACTAAACGGAATAAATGTAACATCTTCGTTATATTGTTTGTGAACTACAATGTCCATCATACTATAAACCGCACAAAGTGGAATAGTATATAGAAAGGCTTGAAAAGTAAAACCATAGTTATTTGGATCGTCTTCATCACGTTGTTCACTACGTTCTCTTTCTGCTTCTTTAAAGGTATTTAATAATCCTGTTGATTTTATTAAACGAAGAGTTTCTTCTTCTGGAATGTCATCAATCACTTCATTTTGAGGTTTGTCTTTTTTACGTTTTTGAACCATTTTTTTTTTTTCCTTGATCAAGGCCACACAAATTTAATAAATTTAATCGATTCTTACAACCTAACTGGGTCGGCTTTTTCTTTTTTTAAAAAAAAGGGTTGTGATTTGTTATAAAGCTTAAAATATAATTTTTTTTTCGTTATGACTAGATCTGTCTAATCTGTTTAATTAATTTTAATGCATAATTAAATCAAACTTTTCCAAATTTGGTGAATGAGATAATTAAATATTTTATCTAATTAATTTAGAGGTTAGAAAGATATACAGCAAAATCGTCTTAATACATATTTTTTTTTATTAATGCTTCAAGACTGGTTCAGATTGTATTTTATTGTATTTTTTACATATTTTTCTTATTTTGCTTCATGAGATTCTACTTGAACAGTCACATTCTGATCAATAATCAAGATATCTTGACAACTAGCTATTGTATCTAAAGTTGCTGGTTTTTTATTCGATTCTATATAATCCCATGACTAAAAAATTTGCGTTAATTTTAAATAGGTAGTTATCGAGATATCTTCGAATTTAGAAAAACTATCAAGACAGAAACTGTGAGAATTGTTTTTTCGAAACATTTAGTGAAAATATTTGAAAATTTTTTATTTCGATTTAACTGTATGTATAATCAAAATATTTTCATCAATTTTAGGTTGATGTTCGTTGCTTTAAACGATCCTGAAAATTTGTTTTCTTTAGATTTCATGACTATAAAATAAAAAAAAATTTAATTTTGAATATATAGATAATCATCAGGATTAGAGGTCTGATTCAATGAATAATATATTTGGATATTCACTAAATATTCGAATATTCGAATATATAATTGTTTCATTAATAAATTGAATATTCAAACACATAATTTTGCGTAAGTTTCAGTAAAATGGATTTTATGTAAATTTCACACGTGATATAAAGTACCAGCATTATGAAGAACTTAGCGTTATCAACTGCAATCCTGGCCAATTCCAGAATTTGTGATTTGGTTAGTAAAATTTTATTTAATTTTATAATTACAATTTTTTGACAGTTCCTGTTGCTAGGGCCTAATATATATATATATATAGTACACCCGATAGGCATGGTTTTGAGAGGTTATCAGAACCAATGGCTTACTGGTCACGTGACTTTGAATAAATATAATTGGCAAGATTATATTTATTAAATATCTACTTGGTACACAAAGCTCGATCCGAGTCAATCAAATTGATTTATATTACCCGACAAACCCGATATCTTATAGGTATCTGATCTTTTGAGTATCGGTTATCAGAAATGGCAAGTTAGGGTTTGAATTATGGAACAGACATGGTGGATCAATTTGTTATCGGGTATAACAGGTTATTGGTTTTAACAGGATCGGTTTTGGGAGGATATATATATGGACTAGGTGCTGAGAAAAGGGTCGAAAATGACAAAAAAATGATCTTCGGAAATCAATTTTTATACGTATTATAAATCTTATAATAAATCATAAAATACAAACTTAAGTGAAAAATGATCCTAAATTAATTTATGTAGCCCATATATATTTCGATTAGTGACTTTCACCAACGGATAATCCGGGTGAAGGTCTTTTAGAAGGTCGAGCAAATATTTTTCGTATTAATGCGTATATACAAGAATAACATGCTGTTATACAAATTAATTAGATTTTGAATGTACTATCCTTTTTTGTAATAATAATTCGCTCGGTATAAACGAACTTCAATTTGATCAATATTTAATTGCAAGCAAATTAATCCTTTGACAAGAGATCTGATGCTATTCGGAAATTCATTATATTTGGTAATCTGTTTCATGTTAATGAATTTAGAAATAAAATTTTTAAAAATATTGCCTAGCGACAAATGTTACTGATTTCTTATATCAATCCAAAGCCCCCCACAAATACAAGATCTTGTGTAACTTTTTGCCCATCGCGTGTTTTGTACCTCGCGTATTGCAGAATAATGCCCACACCTTATAAAATTAAATTGAATGGTTAATATTTAAATTGAAATTTGATAAAATGTAAGATTTTATGTTTACTACCGTGAACAAGCCCGATCCCTAATAGTACGCGACTTGAGAATGATATCGAAAGAGACGGATTCAATCCATTTTGTATCATATCGGTATAGTTTAACTTTATTGACATTATTAAAAGAAGTTTTGAAAATTTGCTCAATCTTCGTTAGAGAGTCGTGTAAGGACACAGGCAAAACAGAACGACGAATAAGCCGGTATTTTTCACTATCGGATATTCCTAAGTTTAAATGTGACAAGTTTGTTAGATTACTTTAATGATAAAAGGTACTTGTAACATCTGGTATTTAGAAATACCTAATATGTCTTCAATAATCCGGCTAGATTCATTTATGAATAATTCTAATAAATCCAGTTTTAATGGCCATTTATCGAAAGAATATTTTAATGATCGGTGCATTATTTTATTCTTTGGATCCGCTGGGTTAGATGTATTAAGTTTAGTAATGTACTTCTCAAATTGACCGACATATAAAATTAAGCTCTTCAAGGCAGACCGGCTTATAGAGTGATAAAGGAGGACAATATGAGACTTTTCGTTAGCTAAAAAAAAAAATATTTTGATGTATAAAATGTGATATTTTAACAACTTTAAAAATTAAAGTTAAAAAAGATGCTACCATTCAATTTACCTAAAACATGTCCTTTACTCTTAGTGTAGTATAATAAATAAATATTTCGTATGAGGTATGCAAAGAAATCCAAGATCCATGATGTTAGAGATACAAGAGATTGGAGAGAATCTACGTGAGAGTTAGGTTTCGCCACCCAGTTTGATATTAATAAAATTAAAAAAGCCAGAAAAAACCTACCTGACGCAAAAGTCCCATCCGAAGATATACTATTTCGAAAAGTAATTTCTAAAGCACGCAGATGCATAATGCATAAAGTATTCAAATATGTAATATTATCACTCCCACAAGATTTAAATAGTGAAAGCTGTAATCCGAAAAGCCTAATCAAAAAATCAGAGGACGTAGTTGATTCAAACCCATTCGGAAAAATGCTAGAAATATTGGTAAAAATCCCAGCTAATATGAGATCTAATGAGTCTATAAATCGATATAAAACATAATGAATCAGCAAATTATGATATTTATCATATATTTATTGGGAGGTGTTGGTTACCTAATACCGAAATAGCCGAAAGTTTCTTTACGATATTTTCCAAATCCGTATGATCCGTGTTATTTAGTATAGACAAAGTTAATTGATTTCTGCAAACACCGACGACCTGCAACAAATCTAGCATTTAAGAAGAAACGTTTAAGAAACGGGAAAGAAAACAAATTTACACAACTTTATGATATTTACCCATCATGTCGGAAGACGCCCAATTTATATCTGCCATATCAAAACAATCGAGTTCACCAGACAGTCGACCACAAATTAGTAACGTACCATTTGGTGACGTGGCAAATTCCGTTATTGCTGGAATTAAAAAAGAATGAGATAGCTTTCAAATAGTATTTAAAATGTATAAAATGGCTTACCACTTGTACTTGAGACATTATGAGGTATCCACGTACTATAAGTTGGAAAACGGCCATCCTTAAATAATTTGATCACACTTTGCCCAACTTGAGAAAGTAACTGTAACGTAGTGCTATAAAATTAACAAATTAAATGAATTTCTGCTAACAAAAACAAACGTCACTTAGAAATGATATTCTAGACATATAAGAATATCATACACTACACTGTGTTCATTTTCTTACCAGTGACGGAATTGCATCTGACCACTACTGAAACCAATAAAAAGTTCTTGTTTATGAACCCATATATTAGTCACTAATTGTCCGGGTAAATGTTCACTGGTAACAAAACGAATCTCCTAGAAAAAATAATCATGTCAAGTAATTATAGATCATCCATATTAAGTCCATATAAAATTATTGGTTTAAGCAGAATACCTTAAAATGGTCACCATCGCGTGATGACAAATTACTAATCCCTCCTTCTGAGTTTGTAGGAGAAGCCTGTAGTTCCCACATGACCACATCACTGTTAAAAACATTGTCATCTTCCCCGTTATCTTGTAAGACAATATAAGCATTAATATCTTGCGTAAAGCTTGCTTAATTTTAAACAAATAAAGATTTGTAATTTCTGTTTACCAGCTTGGTCAGCTGTGACGATTATCAATCGAATTACATTTTCCTGAGAATCTAATAGTAACTTTAAATGTATGATAGGAGCTTGAGCCCTATCGATAGTAAACGATGAATCGTTGATATGAGCGGTGAGGTGTACATCTGCGATTGGTTGACAATTAATATGCAATTTGAGCATATCAACAAAGATTTCATAAAACATTACAATCTTTGGACAATATTCTGGACAATGTATAGCCAAAATGTAACGGCCATCTTGTTTGATGAAGTTGAAATAAACATTAAAGTAAGTTATTTTTGTGATTGTGAACCTAATGAGAAAATACATAATATGACCAGTAGTCATAGAAAGACGTAAAATACCTTGATCAAGTATTACGTCTGCATGTGATATGCGTGATATACGACCAGATATGAATGGCAATTCTGAACTAATTTTTGAAAAATTCTTCTTTCCATCTTGATAACAAACGTAAACCTTTAATAATAAAGCCGAAAAGCAACTTAGAATCTATCAAGTCGACAATAAAATTACTTATATAATTTTTTTTTTGGTTCTTTTTTTTTACCTTGCCATCTGAAGTGACTGTTAGAAATGCGAGCTCTCCAAATTGATTTCGCGGACCTTTAAATGCACCCCGCTTATACGTTGAGCCAGATACACAGGAATACTATGTATAATATATATATATATAAGTTTCTTATTGGATTCGTTGCATTTTCTAAAATACCGTTCCCAAGTTGCTTACCATCCGTACATAATCAAGCCATGCGAATTCGACAATATTTCCACCCAGATCAACATTATATTTACAATCCCATTGATTTACAAAGTTTTCCATCATCCATAAGGCAATTTTACCTCTTTGATCAATTGAAGCTAACGCAGAGCCGGTTTGATTCCATACTAGATCAGTGATTTCATTCTTGTGATGTTCCTCAACACCAATAAGAGGGAATAAATTGCCCTTTCTTGTGAATGCCCAAGTTGATCCTGCGGTGCCATCGTCTGAAGGAAGCCTGCATGGATTAAAAATGCCAATGTTTGGAACGGAACATTGGTACCGAGCATCAAATGCATCCTTATTAATAGGCGACCACGCTATCAAATTTTGAGGAGACCACGCGACACGTCTAATATAGAAGGATTGAAATTAGGAATATTCTTCACTCCTATTGTTGCGATTAAGAACTTAAACTAACCTAGAGGCCTTTCTATAACATATTTCATGATATAACTTTTCAACTGCAAATTCTTGTACTTTTGAAGTCTTAGCAATCGGACTAACATCGGTCATCATTGGTATTAGAGATTTGTTCATTAAAAGGAACAAAGCTGTTTATATTTTAATTAAGATAACCACGTGAATCCTTTTAATTTGTTTGATTGGACGAGTTTTGTAGAGCCAATGAAAGGCTGATTTTACTAAAATTGACATTGTACTCAAAAGCTGGAGAAGATTAAACTTCTTGCCTTTGAGCATATCTCAACAAAATCGTCATTCGCATTATTGATGTTTATTTAAAATGCTACTATATGAGAATAGCTACAATTACGTCATAATACTTGTGCATTATTTCGATCGCATCTAGGCTGGAAACTAATTAGATTAGTTTTGAAGTCCAGCGGTGAGCTGTTACTAGACCCTTCTAATTGGTTTTTTTTTACTACTGGATGGAAGATTCAGTGATGTAGGACCTTTAACAATTCTATATGAGGTCATATTTGCAAATTGCTAATAAAACTCAATTTTTAAAAAAAGGTTATATTTGAAAACTAAGTATTGGGTGTAAATGTTATATTTGAAAATAGCTAATTGATAAATAGATTATATTTAAAATTTTGCTATATCAAATATCATCTGATATTTAAAATAATAAAAATGCTAATAAAAAAAAATTTACTAAGATACCCAAATATAACCTCTATATATTATAATTATGCGGGGGCCTAGTGATGTCCAATGATAAAATAATCGCAGTCGGATGCAAATATATTTAAGTCGCGCTAATACGAGGCAGATGTGAGGCAATCCATTTTAAAACTTTGCCAAGTAAAATTTCTATATAGTTTCGCTATCTAATGGTGTTCTCAAGCATCTCAATCAATTGAATAAATAGTGATCATGATAACGCTCAAGCATCACAATCGTTTATAAAACTAAATGCTTGTGCAAACGCCTAAAAAAGTCTAATACCGTATCATCTCGAAATAACGCCCAAGGTGTAGGTTAAATTTTGGCTCGAATTACAGCTATTTTCATAATCCCTAGAACACCTGATAAGAATTAGTCGGATGATTTTTCGATTAAGGGTAGGGTGTTCGTAGATCATTTTTAATAGTAATCATGTGGTATTCATATGAAATCATGTGATTGACCAATCAGAATCGTAAAAACAACAAATTTTTGACCAATCAGAATCGGTAATTTTTGTACAACCTAAGTAAATTTGGGTCAACCTAAGCATTTTTATCAATATATAAAGTAGATTTTTTTTAAAAGATACAGTGTTTATAATTTTACTGTTATAAATAAAAGACCTCAAATTATATACTGGAAAAATTTGGTGAAGATTAGTCACGATTCTAAAAAGTTTTATCAGTGGTGAATTTTTACTGTCTATATAAAATTTTAATATACCATGTAGATCATATGAAAAATAATCTACGGACATTCTATCTTTAAACAAAAGCAATAATATACTGTAACTACATACTCAACGTTATCAATTTTCGCAAGTTTTAAATAAAAAAACACAACTAATTCTTGATATAAGAAAATTTCTGGAACTTTTTTATTGATTATAAAATTTTTGTAAAACCTTTTCTATATCAAAGTTTTTTATATAGAGGTTTTTTTTTGTTAAGAGTTACTTGTATATTGTTACCTCTTAGATAGCATTTTACTATAGTAACAGATATATTAGTCAATTAATAGTAAATATCGATTTATGCTAAATAAAAAATAGTGTTTTGGTGCAGTTATGCTTTTTAAGAGGATTAGAATGATTTGCAATTACAAAAGAAGCACAGCTAAATGTATATGGATATACAAATAGTCATGCTAACAAGTTTATTTATTATACTCAAGTTATTCATGTATGAAAATACTATAACAGGCTTATGGTTTTATTTGAATGATTTGTATATAAAGATATGATTACTCTTAAAAGAAATTATTATTTATTTAATAAAGTATTTGAGTTGTTTGTGTATGAAGATATAACTACTCTTTATTTATTAAGGTGTTGTTGTTTGAACTTCGAGTTCTGTCTTTTACAAAAGGAGTCATTTAAAGCCAGGTACATCACGAAATTTTTCAATAATCGATAATCATTGGGTAATTATAGGATTTAATACAAAATTAAGCTTTTTTTAAAATTTAAATAAAAGTATCTTGACAACTATCCAAGCAAATTCAATATATAATTTTTTTTATTTTAATTCTAGAGATTTTTAGAATTAAAATAAAAAAAAGTTTATTAAATTTGTTTAGATTGTTGCTAAAATATCTTTACTTCAAATTTGTAAATTTTTTTTTTTTTATTTAAGATGAGATTATGCCTCTGGTTTTTATTAATATATACTTATTAACAAATTCTTATAAATATACTAATATAGCATTATAAAGACTTAGACTAATTTATTTACAATCTAAACCTACTAGAGTAGTCTATATCTTACACATACCTCACCTAATTTAATGTTTCTCAACTAACTATTTCTAATAATACTACATTCTCTCTATGTCTTACATAATCAGTCATAACTTCTAATTTGGTATATTAGATATCTATTTCTGATTAGCTTCCAATTTGATATATCTGCAAGCATAATTTACTACAATTTTTTATTATGGTATTTTATTTGTATAACTGTAATAAATGCAGATAGCTTTTTTATAGCCTTATATCTCAAGCCAGAAACTTGCTACCTAGTTAGGTTTACCATATAACAGAGTTGATATTCTATTATTGAATTAAGGACTTAACTTAAGTTTATACTGCTTTAACCAGTTTGTATCCCTTCATGCATCATCTCTTTCATAAATACATTTATCTGCTTAGATATTATTAACCTATATTTTAAGCAAGCCTTGCTGCTGCCACTAGTTTACTAATCTATAATTTAATATTTTTTTTCTGATATAGTGGTACTAATTAATTTATTTGTACTTCCTTATATGATATATTATCAGAATTATATTGTATAGTTATTTTAATAACCTATCCTATTAAAGACTAGCCTAATACCACAAAATTTTTTAAATAATAAGTAATTCTACTTTTAACTATAAATCTTGTGTCATATTACTAAAAGATATATCTCAATTCACTTTGACTTCCAACTTGACTCTTTATTATTAGTTAATGTTGTATTGTTATTGATATATTCTGGCTTTTTTTGTTAAAAACTTTCATATAGATATAATCAAAGCTCTTTTTTTTTTTTTTTTCCTTCGGCAATCCTGTTTACTTTATTATAGGAACAGACTTTCATTCCTATATCGGCATTTGAAGAAATCTAAAATCTATAAGTGTTCCAACCAAAGAGTAAACTCACTCCCGGCGTACCTCACAGATGCCGAAACATCCACTTGCGGTCAGGGCGAACCATTAAACTGCTGTGTCTTTGCCCAGATGCGACTTGCCTAGCAACACTTGGCCTCCTCCAGAGATCCGGAACTCACTCCGGACTTATTTCCCCAGATTCACCGGCTGGCTGTTGCTTGCCTCATCAAGATTCCCACTCTACAATAGAATGCCGCCAAACTGATACCACTTTCTCGTAGAGAAGAAAAAAAGAAAAAAAAAAGGAGAATAATAGAGAACGAAAAAAAGGTAAATAATAAAAACAAATACATCAAAGAAAACGAATACTAATACTAAGGAATATAAAAAACTA